AGCCAGGCGGCGAGCTGCGGATCGCGCCAAGCAGGCGGCGGACCTGCAGGAGCGCGCTCCAGCCGGCTCCGCGCCTCCGCCTGCGCCGTGGTGCTCCGGCTCCCCTAAAAGATGAATTCTTTCTTCATCAGTTTAGGGAAGTTTTCTGTCATTATTTCTTCAAACAAGTTCTCTATTCCTTTCTCTGCTTCTTCTCTTTTAGGTACCCCTATAATGCGAATGTTGTTACATTTTGTATTGTCTCACAGCTCCCTTAAACTCTCCTCCTGCTTTTTAAACTTTTTTTCCATTTGCTGCTCTATTTGGGTGTTTTTCTCTACCTTGTCTTCTAAGTCATTGATTTGGTCTTCAGCTTCTTCTAATCTACTATTGAACTCTTCTAAGGTATTTTTCATAACAGCTTTGTCATTCTTTATTTCCTCTTGATTTTATGCATAGCTTCTACCTCTTTATGCATAGCTTCTACCTCTTTTTTTAAGCTGAAGTAGTTCCCAGTGAGCTCTTCATAATTCTTATTAAGTTACTTGTAGTTCTCACCAAATTGTTTCAGCACCCTTAATATCATTGCTTTGAATTTTTTATCTGACAAGTTGCTTTTTTCCATTTTTTATAGTTCCTATTCTACTGATTCCTCTTTTTCTTTCCTTTGGCTGTTGTTTCTTTGTCTCCCCATTTTAGCCGTCTGGCAGCTCTAGACCTGGTGAGGGATGTTTGGATGTGTAGGCAGCTCATTGTATGTCAAATAAGGCTATTGTGCCTCCCAGACTGTTTTGTTGCATGTCGCCTCTTGTCTGCTTTGGATCCTGGAGTATTGACTACTGGGGCTGGTATTGGTGTGTCCTGGTAGGTTCTGCTGCTGGATTGCACGTGCCCCTCTGAAGCCGTGTTCCCAGCTGGTCACTGGTGCCACCTGTAGCTGTATTGCTCAGGCCCTGCTGGAGCCACACTCCCTGCTCGCACCTTGGGTGGCTGGGTTACACAGGCCCCTCTTGAACCCCAGCTCTCAGCTGAACCCGTGGGCAGCTGGGTTGTACAGGGCTTGTTGGAGCCCCCATTTTTTGCTGATCCCATGGGGAGCTGAATCTCACTGGCCCTTCTTGAGCCCCAGCTTCACACTGCTCTTGTGGGCTGCTGGGTCGCACAGGTCCCTCTAGATCCCTGGCTTCCCACCACTCCTGTGGGCTGCTGGGTCACACAGGCCCCTATGGATCCACAGCTTCCCACTGCTCCTGTGGGCAGCTATGTTGCACAGGCCCCTGTGGAGGCCCAGGTCCCGCCGCTGGTGGCTGGGAAGTGCTGCTGCCCAGTGGGGCTCAGCTCCTACTCGGCCTTTGTTGTCGTTTTGGGGGATGGTTCTTTACTACTGGCCTGTGCTTCTGTTGCCTGGGGATGGATGTCTGCTCCCCAGCCTCTGTTGCTGAGGTTATATCTTGACTCTGATCAGGCTGCTATTGTGGGAGATGGTGCTGGGCTCCCGGACATTTGAGGTTTCTACAACCGGCACCTTGACAGCTCCGCTACTGTGCACTGGTCTGTGTTGACACAGTGGGGTCCACTGATCCAATGGTGCCAGGTGCACTGGTGGGCTCAGGTTGCTGGGCCCTAGCAGCTCCCACTGCCTCCTCCCAGGGAAGACCCGGGATCTTCCAAAATGGTGGGACCTCCCTGCGGCACAGGGAGAAGTGCCCTGAAGGGTTGCTTACTGCGGTAGCTGGCTGCTCCGTCCACAGCACAGGAACCTTCTGCTCCAGGGCTCTGCACTGCTTGGGTTTGGTCATCCACCTTCACGTCCACTCACACTCTCTCACACACTCACCCTCCCTCCGGTCCTGCCTGCCACCATCTTCCTCTGTGAACTTTCACAAATAATGATGTTTTAAAAATAATAGTATTTATGACTAGTAAAATTACTATGAGTGATTCCATGTTATTCTTTTTAAATGTCTGTATTTTCTAAATTTTCTTCAGTATGCATATGTTTTAGAAGACATTCCATAGACCTATCCAGTCCTTAATAAGCTGAGAGTCAGTGGTCATAATATCAATCTGAAGATTTATTAAACTCAGGTGGCATTTATAGAGTGAGATACCAATCAGAATCTATCAGGTTTCACCTGTTCTCAGAACTGAAAAGTATAAGTAATGGTATCTATGTTATTCTTCCCATTTAAATATTGTGGGTAAAATTCCCTATTGATAATTTATCATTACTGTTGTTTTAGCTGATGCTTCTGCCCATCTTTCTCTTTTCAATATTTGGGAAGTACTTTAAGTTAGGTATATATTTCAAATAGAATTGCTTTTGCTTTGTAATCAACCTCAAAAATTATTTTTCTTTTATAGGAAAGTTTCATATATACATTCATTAACACTACTGCCAATTTTGTTATCACTAACATTATTTAAAGTTATTTTTTTTATGTTTTGTTTTCAACAAATCTAAATATATACAAGACAATTTGTATTTTTGTTTTAGTGGTTACTTTAATGTACTATTTGAACCCTTTCCTATTAAACAGTATATATTTCTTTCTATTATATAAATAATTATTGATTTAATCTGCCTTTTCCTTTCCTTCTCCTTCCTTCACATCCCATTTAATCAATTGTAGTATTTTCTTTATATTTATATACTATTTCTATACTTACTGGGTTTATAGCATCTACACTGTATTCAGTCACCCTTAGGTGCACTGGTGTTTTGTGTTAAATTTGCAGTAAAATATATTTGAAACTTTAGCTGAGATTTCCTTTAGTGACTTCTTGTTTGACTGAAGTTTATCATCTAGTTGTTTTGTAAAGAAGAACTCATGCACTCAACATTCCATTAGGTCTTACATGTTCAAAACTCTTTGGTTGAAGCTTTCACAACACAAATATTAATTGACTTGCTTTAAAATACTTGAGTCACACATCCTTATCTCGATTATATCATGAGTGTTCTTTTCTGTTTTGATTGCTTATTCTTTAGTGTAGAAAAGAGATTTTGATCTATGTTGCCTGAAGGTTCATCACAAACTCTGTACAGAAATGTTTAATTTAATAAACGTTATCTTCGAAATAACAAACTACCTCTGATGGGAGAAAAGTCATAAAGAAATATCTCTGACAAGACAATTTCCCTTAAGCCAGTACTCTGAGGAATGGCTTTACACTATGCTAACAAAAACCATGTATTAGAAGCATTCACAGAATGTTAGTTCAAATCATGTTTGACTTTCCTCTAGATATTTGCATGAAATAGTGTTGTCAAAAGAATCTTAGTTGTAAAATTTGACCATAACATGAAAATCCTGGCTATATTATCACTTGAAATATGTCTTTAAATAAAACACACTTACAAAATATATCTCCTCTCTAGTAAACAAGTTAAATTATTTCTGTGGTATCCTACCTTCCAGTTAAAAATTAAAGGTTTCTGTTAGGAACACCTGTTTATGTTGATAAACGGGCCAATTGACATCTACTCAAGATTTTTTAAACAATTCGAGGGTAAAATTAGGAAACCACTGGCCACAAGTTATCATTATAAAAATTATATTATTCAGGAGGTAGAGTATTTTTTAATCAGGTTGTTCATACACACCAAGGATGCAAAAGCCACTCTTATAGTGTATTGTAGTGACTTTCTTTCTTGTCACTCTTCCTTTAGATGACATCCCTATAATTCAGCCCACATACAATCAGAAAAATTATATTGCTCAAATATATTTTGTATATTGATTCCTGACTCGGAAACTACTTATTGAATAAAAGTCAGACTCCTCAGTATTTAACACCCTACTCAGCATGACGCCAATCTCTTCCTCCAATTGCATCTCCCAGTATTTTTCACTTAGATTAGACAGACCTCTTCTAAAGGTCTAATCATTGCTCATGGAACATATAAAACACAGTACCACCTTTGCTTTTATCCTTTATTTCTTATCCCCTAAATTACTCTTTAAGATTTTGTACCATGTCCTCCCCTTTCTCTGTGAATATCTGCCATTGAACTGATCAACCAGTACAAATCTCCCAACTTCCCCAAAATTGTGTCTGTTTTGACACACTCCTTTGAAATTCTGTTATAAGTACTGTTGCAGTAACAAATAGAGACAAGATTTGGGAGAGAATTACTAAAAGTAAGGGACATTTAATACCATAACTTGAACTTATATATCATGTTTTTTAATATTAGAGGAAAATAAACTATGGACATTATACAAGTAGTAAAATTTCCAAGGTTTTACACTTTTATTTGGCAGGATTTTAATCAAATAAAGGCCAAATAGGGTTTAATTTAGGAACCTAAGGGGGTTTAAATTAAGAAATTCATTGTTCTATTTTAATACTTTAATAAACCAAAAGATAAATTAGTTATGTTTAGAGATACTAAAACAGTTTATAAAAATAAAATTCTGATACTAGTTTTTACTAAAGTAGAAATAGAAGGGTACTTTATCAACATTTATCTGAAAGCAACTGTAGATAAATGTCACCAAAGTTACTGATGATTTTCTGAAGGTGTTTCTATTAAATTAGAGAAGCGACCAGAATGCTGTTAGCACAACTTTTAAAAGTATTTTTCCGGAAGACTTAGACAATAATGTAAAAAGAATAAAAATAAGGAATTAATGTATTGTAAAGATGATAAACGTAACTATTTGCAGGTGATAGAATTTTCTGCCCAGAATTCCAAGAATATTACTAAAAATATAATACATATATGCATTGCCCATGGACACAGACAATAATGTAGTGAAGGCCTGGGGTGGGAGCCGGGTGGAGAAGGACAATGGGGGAAAAATAAGAGGGGACATCTATAATACTCTCAACAATAAAGATAAAAATAAATAAATGTGAAAATCAAAACAATTAAGGGAAGTAGACATCCTTATAATGTGATGTAAGTAGATAATCAAGTGCCATAATATAAAACCTTAATGATAGGTTTACTGATGTTTCGATCCGCCACGTTTCTTTTGAATATAAAATTTAAATAAAAGATTACATTGATTATACCTACCTGTCAGGGGAGATACCATGATCACGAAGGTGGTTTTCCCAGGGCGAGGCTTATCCATTGCTCTCCGGATGTGCTGACCCCTGCGATTTCCCCAAATGAGGGGACTCGACTGCAAAATTTGTAGTGGGGGACTGCGTTCGCGCTCTGCCCTGTATAAACAAAACCAAAAAAAAATTACATTGATCTACAGAAATCGCTGTTATATTTTTTTGCCTCACTGAATTAACGTTCATTATTTTAACCAGAGGATACATTTTGCTTCCTTTGCAAATTAAAAAAAAATTGCAGGTTTCAAAAAACAAAAATTAAAAATGGATAAAAAAAAAATAGTAGCTCTCTTTTGTATTGGTGAAAAAATGGTCGTAAAATATAGGTTAAAATTATACTATAACAATTTTTTTTTTTATCCTCATTCGAGGACATTTTCCATTTTTTGTACAGACAGAGTGGGAGGGAGAGAGAGGAAGAGAGAGAGAGGGAAACATCAATGTGAAAGGGACACATCGAGTGGCTGCCACCCCCATGACCAACCAGGGCCGGGGACAAACTGCAACCAAGGTACATGCCCTTAGCGGGAACCGAACCCGGGTCTCTCCGGACCGCAGGCGGACGCTCTAACCGCTGAGCCAAACCGGCCAGGGCTAATATAACAATTTAATACAATTGAAATATAAATCAATAAGAAGAGAGTATAATATAATTTTTTAATTAAATAAATAATGTTGTTTTGTCTAGAGAGTAAAAATTAAAGTAATTATAGCCAGTACGGAAATAAACAAAGATCACCCAAATGGCAACAGCAAAGGCTATTTGCAGTATTCAGAGCTTGCTATAACAAGAAAGTTTGCTACCGTCACTTGATGGGTACAAGTTAATGATATTGGGCCATGTCCATTAAATAGAATTCAATTGAACCATTTATGAAGATTATAGTTTTTATACAGAAATGTGATCAAGTGAAAACAGCATTATTATAGTGTGATTCAATTTTTAAAAATACGTTTTATTGATTTTTTTAGAGAGAGAGGAAAAGAGAAATAGAAACATCAATATGAGACACATCAATGGGCTGCCTTCTGCACGCCCCCTACTAAGGATTGAGCCCACAACCCCTGTCACATTCCCTCACCGGGAATTGAACCAGGACCTCTCAGTCCATGGGACGTCACTCAATCCACTGAACCACACCTGCAGGGCTGATTCAATGTTTGGTAATATGCATATATGTGTATGTGTGAGTAGAAAATGTCTATAGGCTATATATTCCAAAATATTACTGGTTGTTATCTCTGAATGATAGAATTACAAGTGATTTACTTTATGCTCTCCAGTAAACTATGGGCATCTTACAAAAAATATATATTACTTTCATAATCATAGAAACACTTGTGAAACTGGTTAATACAAATTTAATCCCGAGAAACCCCTAAATCTACATAAAAACATCATGGTGTTAAAATATTAGACAACAGAGAGACATTTAAAAATATGACCTTATATGTACGTTAGCTTTTTTATTCCCCTAGGCAAATGGTTTTTGGAATGGGCACAACAACCTGATAGAATTTTCAATCAAAGAGGCTTTTTGATCTATACCTAGAATAGAATTGTTTTTTTTGTTTGTTTGTTTTGTCTTCTCTTACGACCTATACACTCAGGGAAGTTTATTTCAGTTAATGCTTCTTCAATCTGGCTGTTAGGTATAACTTGAAATTCAATGAAATATATATAAACAAACAAACAAATAAAGTCAACAATTATCACTTGAATTTGGCAGAGACTCAAAGGCAGGCAGAGAAATGGGAAAGCTTTATAGTAGAAGAAAAGAGAGAGTTTCAGGTGTTCCCTGTTGGAGGCCATTAGTATGAGGAACATGCAGAAACCAGAGCTTCCTGTCTCATTGGTCAGGGTGCACATTTGGCTTTTTCTAGTTGACTCTAAATTGAAAGCAGGGGCAAACATTAAGGAAGCTCTCAGCTATATTAATCAAGTCCTAATCATTTGGGCCCAATTGTTACAAGGTTAATAGTTGATTTCCTAGAGTGTTTTTCAGACCTAGAGGTCTGACTTTCTACATGTCTGACTTACAGGTAGTAGGTTGGTTTCCTGGGATAATTCCTGCAGATTGTGGGTCAGAGGTCTATTTCTATATATTGCCTCTCCATTACCTGATTATATATTCAGGCTCTCACCAGTGCCACAATATTTCACTAGGAATAGAACACTCATATCATCAGGATGCAAATCAATGAGGACAATTTGATATGTTACATTGAAAGCCTCAAAACCATGCGTACTTTTTGAAATGGTAATTCCACATCAGAATTATGCTACAGAAATTATTGATGATGTACATACAGGCACACTTACTGCAGCATTGTTTAAAGTAACTCATATTAAAAGGAAAAAGCTAATGTCCAACAATGGAGGAAGGAGGAGGATAGGTTGAATAATGACAAAAATAGTATTCATTTACTAATAATTATGTAAATTTTTTATTGACAAGATATTTTTAAAATGTAAATTTTAAAAAATATATTGTCATTCATTTGAGAGAGAGAAAAAGACATTGATGTGAGAAAGAACCATCAATTGGTTGCTTCCAGTATGCACCCCAACCGGGGATCAAACTGGCACCCACTGGGTACATGGGAAGATGCTCAACCAGCTGCACCACATCAGCCAGGGAAAAATGTAAAATGTATAAGCAGTCTAAAAAGCAAACTGTCATTATGTTATTATAATGTCATTATAATAAAAGATGAAAAGGGACAGAGATTGAGGGGGTGGGGATGGAGTGAGGGAGAGAAGGAGCCAGGGAGGAAGGGAGGGAGGGAGGGAGGGAGGGAGGAAGGAAGGGATGGAGGGAGGGAGGGAGGGAGGGAGGGAGGAAGGGAGGAAGGAAGGAAGAAAGGAAGGAAGAAAAGGAACCCAGCCACTGTGGCTCAGTGGATTGAGCATCGTCCCATGAACTGAGAGGTCCCAGTCAGGGTACATGCCTGGGTTGCAGGCTCAATCCCCAGTAGGGGGCATGCAGGAGGTAGCAGATTGATGTTTCTCACATAGATGTTTCTCTCCCTCTCTCACTAAAAAATCAATAAAAACATATTTTAAAAAAAGAAGAAGAAAAGGAAGGATCAGCATTAAGATAGATTCTAGAAAGAAAGTAATAATCTGTTTATTTTAGAAGCCAAAATAGTTTTACTATGAGTAGGTACTCTTCTAAACATTTTAGTTGTATTAACTCATTTAATTTTTATCACAACCTTATAAAAAATTCTTATTTCACAGATGATGAATCTTGGGTCTAGAAAGATATTTTTTAAAGATTTTCAAAATTTGATTTTTAGAGAGACAGGAAGGGGGAGGGAGAGAGAGAAACATCGGTGTAAGAGCCTAACATTGATGGACTGCCTCCAACATGCCCCCTACTGGGGATTGAGCCTGAAACCTTTCCGTGCATGTGAGGGTGCGCCACCCACTGAACCACACTGGCCAGGGCAGGCCTGGAAAGATTTTAAAACTTGTCAAAACTACAGAACAAATAAATAGTGCAGTTGAAATTGGAGTTTTTGTTATTTGACTCTAGATCTCAGCGTGTAATTTTATTCTTTCTGCTTTCTGATGTCAACCAAGTGTTCTGCAGTTGTTTTTAGTTTTACCTTTCTTTAGAGAATATTTTTTGATGGAACATAAAGGCTTTTCTTATTTCAAATAGATTGTGCTAATACTCCTCCTCCTGTTTATTTCCAAAGAATAAGGATCGCTCTAGAAATATATATTTGCATATTGCTATGGTGCCTTTAGCATAAATATTAGCAGTAGAAATTAGATAATTTATAGAATTAATACTTAATAATTGTACATAAGTTTAAAATTAAAGGATATTGTACCTAGTACATATAAGTACTAAAACTGTAATAAATGACAAATAATGATTAAATAATACATTAATATGTTGAAGTATGTATTAAACAATAATAGTTAACCAATAAACTGATGCTTATGGGATGTTTGTCACATTAACATAGTATAACATTGCAATTTATAGCTTCTGGCGATATTTCAAAGTATAAACTATTGTAATATACAATGCTCTATACTTATTAAAAATATTTTTTTAAAGCATGGAGGGACCTGGAAAGTATTATGCTAAGCAAAATAAGCCAGTCAGAGAAAGACAAATATCACATGATCTCACTTATACATGGAAACTAATGAACAAAATAAACTGACGAACAAAGTAGGTCCAGAGACATGAAAGCATGAAATAGGCTGACAGAGCTCAGAGGGAACGGGGGAGGGGCAGGAAGAGATTAACCAGAGAACTTGAATGTACATGTGCATAGCGCATGGACACAGACAATAGTGAGGTGAGAGCCTGGGGTGGGGCAGGAGGTAGGTGGAGAGGGCAAAGGGGGAAAAATGAAGGACATCTGTAATATTCTCCACAATTAAAGTAATTTTTTAAAAAAGAAAAGCACATTAGCCACTTGTCCTTGATTTATATATTTTTACCAATAAATAGGGCAACTGGGAGATGACTAGCAATGGTTTCTTCCCTTTATGCTAATTTTATTTAAACCTAGATATTTTATGCCATTGTCTAAAGATGCAAAATTATCTTTCTTCTCAGTTTTGTCATTAATATCAATGATAGCATTCTAGAGAAATATTACTGCATACTCTGGGGATCTTATAAAGGTTAGAAAAATGTAACCCATGATAAAATAATTATTCTCCAAAATGATAGCATTTTAAGAAGAGTGAAATCATGCATTTTCAAGTACACACATAAGTTTTATGACATAAATGCGTTAGGTTAGCTTACTAATTTTAATACGATATGGATGTTTTCATGAACTGATAAAATTTCTGTAATCAAACTATTTTTATCTTTTCTTATATTACTAAAAGAATCTGGTCGGAGTTGAAATATTTTATTACAAATGTTTATACTAGATAAATGATTTCTTATAAAAAGATAATAATCTAACACAAAACGTAAAGTTCTGGTAGACAATAATATAAAGAAATACCAATGAAAGTGAACAGCTGAATTACAAATAAGCAATATTCACAATTATAATTTTGTGTTACCTACATAAGTTATTATGACAAAAAAAATGGACATAAATTAAATTTTTAAACT